GGGTAATCTTGACGCGGGAAAGTTAAAAATAAACGAGATCATCGATGTTCGATCAGGACGGAAGTTGATGTATGGCCAAATACACAAGAAGTACCTAAGACAATAAAAAGGAGTACAGCAACTCAACTTGAATTGATGAAGCTGAACTCAATCGTGAAGTTTTTTTGCAGGAGTTCAATAGCGATCGGGTAAGCAGTTTAACATTTTAAAGTGATGCAGTCGCACGAAGAAGATGACAGAGACTAGCGATGATCTCTTGAGTTGAAGAGTGCATGCAGGGAAGATACATGGACGGGAAAGAGAGATATGGGTGGAAGGAGGTTGCACGTGGAGGTTTAATTAAATTTACGTAAATCGAGTGCGACTATCACAGACCTGATGGTGCGATTTAGCTGAAAAGAAGACGTGAAGTATGTGATTTATTGGAGCGATCGCAATAAAAAAAGAAGAAAGCATGTTGATAGATCGCGTCATGGAGAAGACCAGGTAAATTAATCGGGATCGAGTAACTACCAATCAGTCGTGCAAAAGATGACTTAGGGTGGGATGCGATCGATTAACGAAACTGGTTTCTCCAACACGAGGTCGCTTGACTTATCAACAAGGCCATGATTAAGTTAGGTATGTTGGTTTGCCGCACGAACAGACCGGGATACCACACTCTAGACTCAATTAGACGGGAAAAGATCAGAAACATGGCTTCCGGAAAAAAAAAATTGCAGAGCCCCTTCAATCTTGCCAGAAAAAAATCAGCTGCAGTACCCAATTCCAGCGTTGGCCAGCACGATATCGTCTCTGCCTTCTCGCTGGCGCAAAAGAGGCCAACCCAGAATCTGTTTTTTGCTGCTCAGCAAAAATCCACAAAAATTGGGTCGATTTTTACAGAGCTTGATAATGGATATCCACGAAGACTTCATACGCGTCTAACCGTTTTAAGAACCAGTCGGAAGGCTGGAAGGAGATCGGGTGCGTAGTTTGATCATAACGGTATCATGTTCGTTGATCGTGAATTGGTCAATATTGTTTGACGTGATCAACTCAAATGACCTAAACGACTCCGAAGGAGGTCAAACCTGCCCAGTTGTACCAGACAGATATATACCTTAAATTTGGAAAAGTGAAGATAGAACGATTCTATACCCAAATTCAACACGCTAATAAGGATCACTATTCAGTCGGACCAAGAGGACACATAGACTGCCGGTAGCGGAATCCGACCGCAATATCCCGGAATCCGACGATCGCGGGGTATGCGAATGTCAGGAAGTGCCAAAAAAATCGATAAGGATTAGCAACAGATTACAGGAATTCCGAGGATCACAAGATAGACTGACGTCGCCTTCAGAGTCGTTAGAAGGCTATCCAAATAAACATACCATGAATATGTGTGAGGCAACACCTTAAGGTAAGAGCATCGGATTGGGGTCATCAACGTTGATCGGCGAAGAATTCGGAGCACGCGAGGGTTTCTTAAAAAGCGATGAAATTCACCTCGGGTGGCAGATCGGGACGACCACAATGCCACCAGCAGAAAATCGACGGTATCAGCAGCAGAATAATCGGCTTAATCTCTGCCCTTTGGTCGCTATTGCGATGGAAATCGAGAGCCAAACGGATTAGGAGATGTGGATCGACCCGGCGACGATCTGGTACGACGGGCACACTTAGTTTTTAGTATCATGGACTCGGAGGCAGTAGGTAATCGAAAACCTTTTGGAGGCAGGGGGCAATTGCTTTTGTCGAAGCGGAAATTTTTTTCGGGGAGACGCGGCAGGCGCAGGCAGAGCACTTCGAGAAACACTGGCGACTAGTTCAGCCTTGCGAGTGAAGAGTTAATATTGCGACTGAACTTTTTGGTCACGCTCTGCCTTCACCTCGCCCGTTTCTTTAATTGCCCGACGACGATCGGCAGCCTGATCAGCGAATTTAAAGTTGAGCGGATTGCGCTGAATTGTAAGATCTAAAATGTGGACTGCGAAGCGATCGCGCTCAGCTTTAATCGTACCCGAACTTAGCTGGGCCATGGATGAGTCCCGCATAATCACGGAGTTGCGGGTAAAAATTAGGATTTTGCGTCTTCGATTCGGATTTTAGCATGAGCATTGGTATTTTAGACAGACGCAATTGTAGGTTCCAACCCGTTATGGACTACAGCCATTTGACGTCGATGCTTCTCTTGTTCGGCATGGCGGGCCTTTTTAAGCTTCAGAGAGGAATACTTCAAATCAGAATCTCTCGTAGACGTCTCTCTTGATCAATAATAATTAATTTATGAAATTCAGCGAATTTTTGCTCGGCATCTTCAAACAAGCCAAGCAGATTGTTGTAATACTTGTCCACGAATTGCCGGTTCGGTCCTGCGAATTTTTGAGAGTCGCGCTATCGGCTTTTCTAACATTGGCGAGCCTAAACGCAGTTGTAAAGATCGTCGATATACGATCGTAGAGTACGCCGATCGATCGCAAATGAACGCTCACGCGGACGCCGGGAAGCGAAGGTGAACAGCGCAAATGGACAGCGGCCGGTGGCGAAGAGCTTAACGCTTCAGGAAGGCCCGGCTAAAAACCCGACTGATCACCAGAGTCTTCCAGGATGAAAAATTTGTACAAGCCGATCACTGAAAATGGGGGTCCTCGATGACAAAGTGCACGACAACATTAACACTATCTGTCGGTTATCAGGCTGTAGACAGCTGTGGTAAAGCGGATAGAAGCCATCGGGAGTGACTATTGGGTGGTGTGATCTTAGATTGAGACAATTCATTGATAAATATCGATTGGCTATTGAGCTGCGCAATACGAAGACCGAATTTCACAATATTAAAATTGAGTAACCTCATGCCTGCAGTGAATATCGCAACGCCTCCATCAAATGTCATAGCAACGGGATGGAATATTAAGTTGCCAAGATCGAGTCGAAATCCCGAGATCGGGAAAGCGTGAGGTGCCTAAATTCGGGAAGATGACCGACAAATCGGTGGGGATCACAGTCCTAGAAAGAGACCGACGATTACCCGAGGAGATCATCGATAGGCCAAGGAGATCGACGATCGGTCAAGGGCATCGACGATCGAACAAGGAGATGTACGATCTGTTAAAGAGATCGATAATCGGCCAAAGATATCGACGATCGACCAAGGAGATCGACAATCGATCGAGGAGATCTAAGATTGGTTGAAGAGATTGCCAATCGGTCAAGGAGATCGACTGTTTATCTGGAGTGAACCACGTATGCAAAGAACGACCAACGGAATGTAGAGGACTCGTAGCATCATGTTCTGGATTAAAGATATGCATATTTGTAGTTTCAGCCTTTGGTTTGATAGACTCTATACATCATTCTACTTATTTTAAGTATACGTGTTAACTTCTATTCTGGACCGTAATGTTGGCCTCCCGATGACAAGACAGTCGCTTATACTGAAAGCAATTGATACCCAAGAAACTTTGCTGGGGCCAAAAATTATCTCCTTCCCCCAACTATGGTTGAAAACAGTAAGAATGTAGGGTATAAGGCGCAAGATAGCGAGACGGCCTAAGTGGTCATAAGGCTCGCGTATCAAGCATATACATAGTGGACAAGGCGATCTCGTTGAGATCCGATAGCTTTACATCAAGTAACCTACAAGTATACTAGTGATCGTGTGGAGTTTTCCGCGCGATCACAAACCCCATTTTTAACAGGTCAAGGTTTCTCGCGACACGAGTCCACCAAGAAAAACACAGCCCGCCCTACAGACAAGTACACAAGGTAAGAAAGAATACATTAGACATGGAAACGGAGAACCCCCTACGATAGTCGGTCGTCTGGGCACCAGTGGAAAGTCATATTCGCCTCATCAGATGAGCCATCACAACTGTATCACCAAATCTGGAGTCGCATCAGCGGCTCCCATATAGATAACAAATAGGTGATAAGGATGAAAGTATTTTACATTTAGGAAGAATTTTGTTAAGGATAACGGATGTGAATGCGTTAATCTCCTTTTTACCTGACGACAAACATCGTCTTTTATTGCAGCGAAACTAGTATCCAGCACTAGCATTCCCGAAGCACATCCGATTTGCAGTTCTATAAGGCGTTCATTGCCCACATCCTACTTGCGGTTCCTTCAAATGGCTCGATTTCGACGTATTTAATGCGGTTCTGTAAGTATTTCATTACCCACTTCCGACTTGCGGTTCTGTAAATGGCTCGCTTTCGACATACATTATGCGGTTCTGTAAACAGTTCATTGCCCAGGCCCGACTTGCGGTTCTGTAAGAAGTTTATGGCCCGTAACCGACTTTGCTGTTCTGTAAGAAGTTCGATGCCCACGTCCAATTTTCGGCTCTGTAAGGACTTCGTTGCCCACTTGCGCCATTTGTTCACCTCGTGTAACGGAGCACCCTGAAGCTTGTACTGGTGACAGTACAAGCTACTTATTCTGATGACAGAATGAGGCGGTGCCTCGGAGCTTCACGTACACTCGTACGTGCCGAGGAAGACGGTAAGAAGAAGCGAGTACTTGGTGAAAGTAAAAAGTAGAACTGTACCTATAATAGTTAATGTCTGCAATAAATCACTATTTATCTTCATCTAACTATGTCTAAATACAAATGTGTAAATCAAATATCTGCTCACCACTCGTTGCGTGCGTCTGTCGTGGCGCGTCTTCGTTGGTTGATATAATGGCCTTTATCAACCAATTAGGAACTACTCGTACGTGCTACAGAATATTTGTCCTTATGACAATATTCTGAGAATATAAATCTTATAGTTATATTCTATTAACAATTTCTCACAAATTGTTATGTAACGATTCACCCCGTTACATTACCCCCCCTAAGCACCAACCAATAGTTGATTAAATTAGAATTGATTGGGACAAGGTGATCACCGTTGGACCAATCTGGGAAAGGGGGCAGCTGTTGGTCAAATCCCTATATTTTTCAATCTAACGCATAGTTTCGATAACAAAGCGAGTTGCTACTGCAGCAGCAAGAAGGGCGGCTGCACGCATGCGTGCAGCCGTGGAGAGTACCTCTCACACCTCAGCAGCAGGGAATTCGTCGCCTGTTGTTGTGAATCCTCCACGTGGTGAGTCACCACGTGCGACAGGTACATCCGTTGCATCTGCCGCGGGTACCACGAGTCGTAATCAAGATGAGTCTGGGATAGAGCTCATCAATTCTGGCCAGTTGGATGATTCATCCGACTCGAAGGCGACTCCTCACGTCTCGGGATCACCCGGGGCGGACGCTGGAAGAGCCAGGCTGACTGGCTCTGGTCAGCGCGGCAGCATTAGACCGAGATCTTTGGATCGAGTGATTCTATGATGAGTCTCCGCCTCACGCAAGTCCATCCAACGATAAGACGCGTGGAGATGGTGGTGATGGACCCAAACATCACCACGTGCGAAGCAACCCGAGAGACCGAGATTTCACTGGTGTCAGTGCTCATGCTGACACCAATCAAGAGGCCAAAGACAGAAATGCTCTGCGCCACGCTCCCCGAGTGGGGTCCCTGTGAATGCTGCCATCCAGAGAGTTGGACCGGTTGGCCGGCACGACTACCGAACGGGATCGAATTCCTTTGTTCTATTGCAGGAAGATTTGCCCACCTGATTCCAGCACGGAAACTATCCGTGCTGAGAAAGAATTCTTCACCGATGCGTTTTTCAAGCACCGGTGGTATAGTAGCAGCCGTGCTCGAGACGGAAAAGCCTTGGTACAGGGATGGAATGCCCTCATCCACAACATCGAGTGTAATGGCCGTGATGCTTGGCTCGCCAAACTTGATGCAGCTCGCATCAGGTTTGAGAAACGCAACCCAGTCGGGGCGCGATACAAGTTGCACCGGCTTTCAAGAGAGGCAGGATTACCTTGTCTCTCGTGGGGTGATTCGTGTCCAGGTTGCCTGTACAATTCGAGCCGTGCCCTAGGGAGGCCTTCCTCCCTAATGATCCCTACTGGAGGGCGCGCATCTCTTCCGAGATGACCGAAGGTATTGACACCTTGCAATCCCTGTACTCGCGTTCAGGGAGGTCATATTCCGAAGGCCCTTCTTCAAACGCAGCGAGTGGGTCTCGTCGTACTGCTCGACGAGACCAAGGACGTCAACAATCAGCTGGGCACGAGGTTCCCAGCTGTCCCACGCCGGTGGATAGCCACGCCGGAGGACGAGGTAACTCGTCCAGACGCCCTTTACGCGGCGGTGGTTCAAAATAAACTCCACTGGGAAGCTTTGACCACCGCTTAGGTCCACCCAAGGATGTGGTGGCGGCGGGAACACCTGATCCGGCTCGAGGGTCGGATCAAGTTGATGTTCAAGGGCTTAACCGTCTAACGGAACAGTTGCAAGATGACCTGGCTAATGAAAGATCTCGGCGTTATGGGCTTGAGGATCTTGTGAGGAATTATTGTAATTCCCTAACGCACGATCGTTCGGACGATCGTGCCGTTTTGCGTTTGCGCAACTTGAGAACGAACGTTCGACTCGTTCTCTTCGTGACGAGCTGGCTGCAGCTCGTCGAGCCATCGCTGAGCTGTCTGCAGCTCGTCGTGACATCTCTGAGCTGCGTGAACTGGTCGCTTCGCTAGACGATTAGACTGGTTAGTTGAAACGGGACCACTTGAAGGTGGTCTTGGCTCTCGACCACGAAGGTGTTCTTCTCATTTCGAAACGGGCTCGTCCATGACCACCTCTCGTTTTTCTTTAGCAGACGAGAGAGATGTACGGTCATCTCGGCATAGTTGCGCGAGTATTTGTGCAAGCACGCCGCCAAGCCAAGGAACTTTCGAAGTCCCTTGACGTCGGCTGGCACAGGCCAGTCACTAATCGACTTGATCTTTTCTGGATCAGGGCGTACGCCGTGTTTACCCACGATGCAGCCAAGAAGCGGTATTTCGTTCGCTGCGAATATACACTTCTTGAGGTTCGCGAACAACTTATGCTCACGCATAAGTGTAATAGCCTTCCGGAAGTGGATTGCATGAGCCTCCACGCCCGCCTTTCCATCCATAGCCCGGATATGAACGAAGACATCGTCGAAGTAACTCGGTGCGAAGTCGCGCACCGATCGCAACAGATTTGTAACACATCGGTTGAACGTTGCGGGGGAGTCACTTAGCCCCTGTGGCATCACTAGCCACTCCCAGAGCATGCCACTGGGGGTGATCACTGCTGTGTACGGGGATGTCCCGTTCGCGCATGAGGATCTGATAGAATCCATCCATCAGATCCATGGACGAAAAGATGGTACTCTTTGCCGTACCATCTATGATGACGTCCTTCCTCGGTATCGACGTTTGAGCCGGTACCGTTGCAGCATTCAATTTGTTGAACGCGTGCACTATCCGCTACCCCCCTGTGTTCTTTCGCACACAGAAGGTCGGAGAGTTGTGTGGGGATGTTGATTCCCTCACATGACCAGCCACTAAACGATCGGCAAAGAGGTTGTCGATCGCTGTGACCTGTTCACGAGGCAGTGGCCACTGCTTCATGACACAGTATTTTGAACCAGGTTTCAGTTCGGTCTCATGCCGAGTGCTTTTGTCCTTGGGTAGCTCGCATGGCACGGATTCCGGGAAAACATCCCTGAATTCAACCAAATCTGTATACAAAGGATTTGTCTTCAAAGACTCCCAATATTGAGACGTGTATCTCTCAATTCGGGTCTTCTCATCGAGGACACTCTCGTCCATTGATGATCTACTGTGAGCCCGTTTGCTCTCTGTAAACACTTGTGTCGACCGAGCATCGGCGACGTACTCGTCTTCTGTGACGAGTATGCAGATCTGCTTGATCTTGTCACCACGCAGATCTCGCAAGGATCTTTGAGATTGTAGCATTGGCAACTTGATTACCTTCGAAGCTGACTTCGGGGGGAAAATCAGATCAAGTGTATAAGCGCCTACACTTGATCCGTCATTCACCATGACATCCACTGGCTCGGTGCTTTCCTGGAAAAACACATCCGCAGGTGGTTGGGGATCCACACCCTCAACATAACTCTCTCGGGAGTTATTGCTCTCAGGAAGGCTAAAATTTCTTCCAGTACGTGTACTGACTGTGGGCGTAATACCACAGTCACGTCCTCATATAGACTCTCTTTCAGTTGAGCGGGCTTGCTCTACGATCGACTATCTGATAGTCGATCTCGCTTCAACGTGTTGTCCATCCTGAACAATACTAATCTCTCTTCTTGGATGCACCCTTCTTGGCGTGCATCCGTTTTCCAGTCTACTCGATCTCTTCGAGTGGTGAGCCTTCGGCGCAGCCTGTGTCTCTACACAGGTGCCGGAAGCTGGCTTTCACAGTGTAGTGGCCTTCTACACTGTGATCTTCTGCAATCGTACAAACGACCGTACCACAAGTGAGGCCATCGCACTCACTCTCGTAGTACATCCATATGCTTGTGGACGCTCCAAGACGTTCATCAGATGTCCATCCAATGAACAAACGGCAGGCATCTTCACGGATCGATGCTGCCAGCTGATCCATGGCTGTCATTTTCCAAGCCATGGCAGAACAAGGATGACACCAAATTTGTCATCCAAATCTAGTACGATGAAGTCATCATCGTACTGCTTTTCTTTTAGCGTGTAGTGGATTCCCACTACACGTTTGTTCACTGTTACGGATGCGCCTGTAGTAAGTCACACCGTCATCCTCGTTGGAGGGAAATCTCGCTCAACATAGTTGAGACTATTATCTTCTAGCGACTGGCGTCGAATGAAATTTTCCGACGCCCCACAGTCAACTAGGGCGCGAAGTGACATCCCACTTGTCACTTCAATCTTCAAAGTGATGAGATACAACTCATCACTAGGGGCAGTAACACCCAGCGACTGTGTGTTGGGAGCAATCTTCGTCAAGAGTCCTGCAAATTCTCTTGATGTTGCTGAATCAGCAGGGTGCTCCGCCCCTACTGACCCTGACCGTGTTTTGACGTTCCGACTTGCTGTCGCGGTTTGGCGGCATAGTTAGATCCGCGCCTTGTACCTTTCCTCGGCCAACGGCGGTCATCACGCCCTGTCGTTGGACGTGATGCGGTGCTTGAGAAACTCCACTCATGTGCGTCGTGTCCAATCTATTGACAGCGATGGTATCTTGCCGCTCGCTTGTGACTCAGAGAGCGAGATTTCTCTCTCTCGATGTAACAGACGTCCATTCGTTCGGGCCTCCTGTTTCCTGTCGTCTAGTCGGACGATAGTTTGACGAGTTAGACTGAGACTGTCTCAGGCTGAAGTCTTCTTGTTCCGCATACGCTACCGCTTTTTCAAGCGTATGGAAGTACTCTTGGAACATGTAGGGCCTCACCGGCCCATCCACAAGGCCGTAGATGAACACGTTGATGAACGTCTGCTCATCAACATGGTTTTCCGTAACGCTACTCGCAAGGTAGCGTAGGTGCTGTGCATAAGCGTGCACGTCACGCTTACCTTGCTTTAGCCTTAGGAGTGCAAAGCGTGCTCTACACTCGGCTATTGGCGGCTCAAACGTCTCTATAAGCCGGGACTTCAAGATTTCCGACGACTCAAACACGTTTGGGTTGTGAAGCTTGAGCGCTAAGGCCCAAGTATTCGCTCGTCCCGTCAAATTTGATAGGCGAAGGTGACTTGCATCTCGTCACACTCGATACGACAGTACCTGATGTCAATCGTCTAACTCGACGAACCATATCAAAAGGGAATCTTCATCAGCTCCCTAATACATTGAGACGTCAAACTTCACGGTTTCGGGTTGACGCATGTGCGTCGGCCCGCCCATCGCCTGATGAGAGCCTTGCTGCTGTAGCAAGGCTATCTTCTGTCGTTCGACTGCAAGTTCCCCTTGCAGGAACTTGTTGATAGCAGCATGTTGCTGGTCTCTGCTTAGAGACTCCAACATACCACTGATGGCGGATTCGCCCATGGGCACACTCATGTGGCCGACTATCTCCCATTATGAGTCACTCAGATAGGAGTAGCCTTTATGTGTTAATTGAAAATTGTTGTATTAAACTTCCGACATGTTCATGCTGTACACTAAGTAGTTGTTGGACGGACTACAAAGAGCTACCAGGTGTAATGGGGCACTCTTTGTCCAGGTGCCACAAAACTTCACGTACACTAGTACTGTAACGGGGTGAATCGTTACATAACAATTTGTGAGAAATTGTTAATAGAATATAACTATAAGAGTTATATTCTCAGAATATTGTCACAAGGACAAATATTATGTAGCACTTACGAGTAGTTCCTAATTGGTTGATAAAGGCCATTATATCAACCAACGAAGACGCGCCACGACAGACGCACGCAACGAGTGGTGAGCAGATAACTGATTTACACATTTGTACTTAGACATAGTTAGATGAAGATAAATAGTGATTTATTGCAGACATTAACTATTATAGATACAGCTCTACTTTTTACTTTCACCAAGTACTCGCTTCTTCTTACCGTCTTCCACGGCACGTACGAGTGCACGTGAAGTTCCGAGTCACCGCCTCATTCTGTCATCAGAATAAGTAGCTTGTACCGTCACCAGTACAAGCTTCAGGGTGCCCCGTTACACCTGGTAGCACTTCGTAGTCCGTCAGGGACCGTGTTCACATCCAACTTGAATATGTTAGATGATGAAGATTACCAAAGCTTTCACGCTACGCGTGACGGCTACTCCTATTTGAGCGATGTCGAATGGGATGCGGTTGAACGAGTGGGTTCAACCATGGGCATTCATGCTGTTAGCGTCATGCTAGAGGCTCTCAATAGAGATGCCCAACATGCTACTATCGCCAAGTTCATTCAAAATGAAATTGACGCTGAACGCGAGAAAGTAGCCTTGCTTCACCAACAAGGTTCTCAACAAGCAGAGTTGTTGAGAGAACAGGGTGCTCAACAGTTTGAACTGTTGAGACAGCAGCAGGCTGCTGCTGGCGGGTCGATGCACTCGCGTCGTCCCGAAACCTTGAAGATAGACATCTCCAAGTATAGGGGAGTCAAGGAGGACTCCCTCTTGAGATGGTTTGTCGAATGGGACGACGCCACCATGGCGCGCCGCATCGATGACGGGGAAATGCAAGTTGCATTTGCCCAATCAAATTTGGCAGGATGTGCCAAGACTTGGGCACTGGGGCTCAAGTTGCACGACCCATATGCGTTTGGGTCGTTAGAAGTCTTCAAGTCGCGGCTCAGACAAACGTTTGAACCGCCTAGAGCTGAGTTCAGAGCTCGAACCGAACTCTTGAAGCTCAAGCAAGGTAAGCGTGATGTGTACGCTTACGCTCAACAAATACGACATCTCACGAGTTGTATAAGTTCCAATCCGGTGGATGAACACACGTTGGTTTCGGTGTTCATGCAGGGTCTTGCGGATGGTCCCGTCAAGACTCACCTGTTCCGGCTTGAACTAGATTCACTAGAACAAGCCATTTCCATTGCGGAACAGGAAGACTTCAGTCTGAGACAGGCTCGCGCCAGCTCGACATCATATCGTCAACCGAGACGATATGACAACGGAGGTCCAGAGCCGATGGAACTCTGTTATGTAGAGAGCGAGAAGGCTCGCTCTACAGGCTACAAGAAGTTGCAGAGATGCAACAGATGTCAAAAGACAGGACACTACGCTTACGAGTGTAGTGCCCCTCGTCCAGTGTCTCGCAACACTGGGCGTGGTGACCGTCCACCCATAAGAAAGAGGCAGGGACGAGAGTCCGCGGTTGGTGCAAGACGCAACAACGGGATGGACCGTCAAAAAACGGACAGGATCAGTAGGTGCGGAGCACCCTACTGGTCCAGCAACGCCAAGAGAATTTGTGGGCCTCTTGACGAAGGTTGCTCCCAACACACACAACGCACACAACGTTGTGCGTTGCTGCTCTAAGTAATGAGATCTCACTCATTACCTTGAAACTCGAAGTGACAAATAAGTTGTCCCTTCGGGCTCTAGTCGATTGTGGGGCGTCCAACAATTTTGTGCGACGCCAATCGCTAGAAGATGGTCACTTCAAGTTCAGTGAATGTGACACACCTCCTACGAGGATGACGGTACGTCTTGCGACAGGCGCATCCGTAACCGTCATGAAGCGTATAGTGAAGATCCACTACACGCTAGAAGATACCCAATATGACGATGACTTTGTCGTATTGGATTTAGATGACAAATCTGATGTCATCCTTGGAATACCGTGGCTCAGAAGGTACGAACCACGGGTAAACTGACAACATCGAACAGTAACGATGCCTGCCGCTTGTTCATCAGATGGCCATCTGATGAACGTTTTGGAGCGTCCACAAGCGTGTGGATGTACTACGAGTGAGTGCGATGGCCTCACTTGTGGTACGGTCGTTAGTACGACTGCACAAAACCTTAGTGTAACAAACGGTTACACTTCGGAGCAAAGTTCCGGCGGCTGTGAGGAAACACAGGCTGCGCCGAAGGTCCACCACTCGAATAAGTCGAGTGGACCGGGACAAAGATGTATCCCTAGAGGGGAACACCTAGAAGAGAAACGATCGATCGCTCAGGTTAAGCGAAACGATAATCCTAGATCGACTGGAGAGTCTTTCGTAGAGGATCTCGCTGTGGTTGCGCAACCACAGCTAGAGGAAGTTAAGGGAATAAGTCCCGATATTACAAGTACGGCGGAAATAAGTTCCCCGAAACCCGAGGGAATAAGTCCCAGGGAAGACGAAGGAATAAGTCCTTCGAAGCCTGAGGGAATAAGTCCCCAGGAAATGACAGAGACATTGAATGTCATAGTCAATAACGGATCAGGTGTAGGCGCTTATACACTTAATCTGATTGCGCCTCCGAAGTTGACTTCGGAGATCACTCAGTTGCCAACGCTCGAACATAAAAGGTTCTTGCGTGATCTGCGTAGTGGCAAAGTCAAGCAGATCTGCGTACTCGTCGCTGACGACGAGTGTGTAACCGACATAAGGTCAGCAACAGTGTTTACTGAGAACTCTCTCGTTCTCAGTAGTTCATCTATGGACGAGAGTGTCCTAGATGAAAAGACACGAATTGAGCGATATGACTCCTAATCGTGGGAATCGCTCAAGACAAATCCTCTCTATGAAGATTTGGTTGAATTCACGGATGTATTCCCTGTAACTGTTCCGTGCGAATTACCGAAGGATAAAGGTATTCGACACGAGGTCGAGCTTAAACCAGGCTCGAAGTACTGTGTCATGAAGCAGTGGCCACTTTCTCGTGAACAAGTACTTGCGATCGACAAGTTCTTTGCCGATCGTTTAGCAGCGGGCCATGTGAGGGAATCAACTTCTCCACATAGCTCTCCGACCTTCTGTGTGCGAAAAGAAACAGGAGGGTGGCGGATAGTGCACGCGTTCAACAAATTGAATGCTGCAACGGTACCGGCTCAGACGCCGATACCGAGGAAGGACGTAATCATTGATGGTATGTCAAAGAGTACCATCTTTTCGTCCATGGATTTGATGGATGGCTTCTATCAAATCCTAATGCGGGAACGGGACATACCCTATACCGCAGTTAGCACGCCTAGCGGCATGCTCTGGGAATGGCTAGTAATGCCACAAGGGCTCAGTAATGCCCCTGCCACGTTCAACAGATGTGTATCACATCTGTTGAGATCAGTACGCGAATTCGCGCCGAGTTATTTCGATGACGTATTCATCCATAGTCGAGCTATGGATGGAAAGTCGGACGTTGAGGTTCACAGGTACAACGTCCGACAGGTTCTTACAATCATGCGAAAGCATCAATTGTAAGCAAACCTCAAGAAGTGTATATTTGCGGCCAGCGAAATACCACTTCTTGGGCGCATCGTTGGTAAGAACGGTGTACGTCCTGATCCCGAAAAGATCAAGGCGATCACCGACTGGCCTGCGCCGGTTGATGTCAAAGGTCTTCGAAAATTCCTTGGGCTAGCGGCGTATTTGCAAAAGTATTCACGCAATTACGCCGAGATGACTGTGCACCTCTCTCGTTTGTTGAAAAAGAACGAGAGGTTGTTATGGAACGCTGAATGTCAGCGCTCCTTTGAGGGTATCAAGCAGAGCTTGATACAATCCCCAGTCCTAGCAATAGCCGATCAGGACAGGCCATTTCATGTGGTCTGTGATGCCAGCGATTTCGCAATCGGCTGTGCACTAATGCAGTACGATCTTGAAGGCGTTGAACGCGTCGTCTGCTATCAGTCGCGTCAGCTGCAACCAGCTGAGCAGAAATGTCCAGTGCATGACAAGGAACTCCTTGCCATGAAGTATGCACTCGCGAAGTTCAGAGTCTATCCATTAGGAGATAGACCCTTCATTGTTTACACTGACCATCCGTCATTACGCACGGCAGTGAACAGCCCGCACCTTTAACAACGAATGGCGCGATGGTTGTCATTCTTTGCAGAATACAGCTTTACGGTCGAGTACAAACCAGGACGACTTAATGTCGTCGCTGATGCACTCTCACGTCGTCCCGACTTTGAAACAGTTGCGAAACCCAACAGTGAGACAGTCACTGTTGCGGTTATGACGTCCTCAGTCCCATCTACAACGTTGTATGATGATGTGAGGCGGGCATACGCCCAAGATGGTGAGATTGTGAAGTTGTTGACACATCTCTCCCAACCACCTCAAGAATCGTTGAAACGATTGTCGTCTGCGTATCGATCTGCATCAGATCGATACACTACTCGCAACGGGTTACTGTACTATACAGCCGTTTCTGGTGACACACCACGTGTTGTCATTCCAGATGATACTGATCTGCGTTTGAGGATCATGTTCGAGTATCACGATGCTCCTATAGGAGGACATCGTGGCCGTGAGAAAACACATCTCGCTGTGAGTCGAGACTTTTACTGGCCCCGCCAGTATCAGTTTGTGCGAAAGTATGTTCGCGCATGCGAAGTCTGCCAACGAGTGGAGTCAAGTCCTTCACTGCGTGCACCTTTACAGCCT